CGGATCAAACCCTGACACTTCAGGGACATCTGCTTAACTGCCGGTCTGGTTCTGATCGTATCACGTCAGACGGATTAAGAGCAGACTTGATTCTATCATGTGCTTCATATTCGGCACACTGCGCATAACAGCGCTTTCATGGCTGCAGTTATCGGCAACATCGTCCCTCTTCTTATACAACATGAAGTCACTGCTACGATACTGGTGGTGAAAAGTAAGCGCAGCCGTCACCTGCTGTTTCATGGATATCTTTTACGGGCATGTCAACCACACAGCAACGGCTGTGCATGTCTTCAGAAGTTATGAGCAATGACTTCAGCCTACCATCAGGCTGTGAAGTAATACGCAGAAAATGAGCATTACTTGATTGCTTACTTAACTACTGTCGATTAAGTATCCGAAACAGCTTGACTTATGTGTAACGTCATTAACAACTGCCCGGTAACTCGACTCGAAGGAAGAGTGATAACCCTGAAATCAGATACTAGCATTCAATAAATGAACAACTGCACTCGTTTATTTGACTGCACTTTCAAATTCCAGGCATTACTCGTGCGTCAGGGCTGAAAACAAAGGTTATCAGCAGAGTAAACGACTGGTAATCAACCAAACTGCATAATTTTGTAACGAGATGCACTTTTTGAAGAAATCCGCTATGAGTGGTAGCTTATCTTACGTCATGGAATGCAGCGTTATCGAATCATGAAATGAAGTTCGCATAGCGAGTTATAAATTTAACATTTGTCTCATACATGAATAGGGCACCAAAACGTGAAAAATTACACGGTGATCTTTTATTCAACAGCGTATTTACGATACTGATACCCGTATAATCATCATGAACAAACAAAATAGAGAACAAGCGAACAATGAGACGATAATGAACAATCAATAATTTAATCCTAGTAAGCAGTTCATCCTTACACGATCATTCTGAAAACTTATACAAACAACCACTGTTAAACAGTGAACTGCTTCACCTCAGTTTTAAGTCAAACAGGGAAAACAGCATCTACGCAATTTTACCTTCATGTTTCTGAACTAGTGAAAAAATATAATGAAAATGAACTAGTGCTTGCTACAAAAATGGGAAGATGTTTGGCTTGTTCTATTCAAAAAGTTCCTTCGCAGAAACCCACCTTAAGCATTCAACATAGTTAATACGATATTCTGTAACGCCTGTGATATAATTTATATAGGTAAGACCTATAAACGTTTATCAACGGGCTGTCTACAATTTGCAACAGTAACACTCAGGCACTAAATCTCACGTCACTGTTAAATGACGTAGTTTCAGCGATGCGAGTACGTTCGAAATTAACAGACACAGTTTCAGTGTAGAGTTAAAGGAGTCATGTCCTTAGATTTAAATCCAGGCATCGTATGCACTCAGTAACCTCTTACCTAGCATTTTATCACGTGACCTGAACAGTACTCCACTATTACTTTGAATTCGCTATAGTGTTATAGCGCTAACTCGACATATTTCATTCAGTTCTGATTAAGCATCGATTGTTAAGCAAAGCATAACTCTCTTTGATATGTGTGAGTGC